CACCAGTTCCACCATCCCACCGCAGCAGATGCTCACTATGTCATGCTCTGCCACCTGCTGCTGATGCTCAACATGTTCCGTGCACACCCCCTGGTGGTCAGCGCATGTCATAGCGACTGGTTGTTTGGTTATTCTCACTGTTTGGCCTATTTGCATATTATAGAGGAAGATAATCATGTTAACTAAAAAACTGCCAAATGAATCTTTCTCATTTCTCAAATTAGCCTATTAAAAGAAATATGGTCTATAATAAAATTTAAAAGAATTTAACAAAGAATATGTGGTATTAAAAATCATTACGCTGGCCAAAACTGGTTTGGCTCAGTGGATAGAGCATCAGCCTGCGGACTAAAAGGTCCCAGATTCGATTCTGATCAAGGGTATGAACCTTGGTTGTGGGCACATCCCCAATAGGGGGTGTGCAGGAGGCAGATGGTCTATATTTCTCTCTCATCGATGTTTCTAACTTTCTATTCCTCTCCCTTTCTCTCTGTAAAAAAATCAATAAAATATATATTTTTAAAAATAATTAATCTGGGCATCTAATTGAAAGAAATATTGCTAAGGAGAGCTTGGATGCTATACATTTTAATCACAAAAACAAAATGTCAACCATCTCAAAGCAAAAAATGACTGACATCTGTAATTGATAAATTCTTATTTCCAGAATTGTGAGGGTGTTTCCTGACTTCAATTCTCATCCACAGCTGGGACAATAGGTAAGAAACAGGTCATGGGAATGACAGGACAGACTGACACACACAGAGAAATATGCTGGAGCCCAGCCAGTGTGGCTCAGTGGTTGAGCATCAACCTATGAACCAGGAGGTCACAGTTCGATTCCTGGTCAGGGCACATGCCCAGGTTGTGGGCTTGATCGCCAGTGTGGGGAATGCAGTAGGCAGCCAATCAATGATTCTCACTCATCATTGATGTTTCTCTCTTTTCCCTGGCTCTCTGAAATCAATAAAAAAAATATATTTTAAAAGAAGAAAGAGAAAGAAAGCAAGAAAGCAAGAAAGCAAGAAAGCAAGAAAGCAAGAAAGCAAGAAAGCAAGAAAGCAAGAAAGCAAGAAAGCAAGAAAGCAAGAAAGCAAGAAAGCAAGAAAGCAAGAAAGCAAGAAAGAAAGAAAGAAAGAAAGAAAGAAAGAAAGGAAGAAAGAAAAAAAGAAAGAAAGAAAGAAAGAAAGAAATGTATTGAAGAGTTGGCCAGAGTTGGAGAACTAGCAGCATTTCCTCCCAGTGGCATTAAAATGAGTAAGATAGGCTCATGCTGTATAATTATCTGGAAATGGGTTACTTTGCGATGGGAGAAAACTGGCTCTTTAAAAGACTTAGGACTCTCCCAGGTAAGAAGGGATGATGGTTAACAGAGGCACTGGGAGAACTGGGTCAGAGCTTCCTTTGGGTTTTCACGAAGTTTGGGCCAGTAGAGCTTTTAAACGGATCTATTCACCTTGACCCATATTCATCGGAGACATTAAATACCAGATTAGCTTCCGCAGATGAGCAGCTCTATGATCTTTGGCAGAGACTGGCCTGGGTGGCTTGGTAGGCTTTTACTCTCCCTGCAATGCCCTGTCACTCAACAGCTTCCCGGAACAAAAGTCCTCTTTCTCTGCCACGTGCAACCTTGCTTACGTGTGATGTGATGAACCGTGCACCCTCACTATGTGGCTCTCTCCTGGTTCCCTGACATGTATGAAGTCCACCGCACTGAGGAGTGTTACCATGGGGGGGTGTGGGGGGCACGCAGACAGAATGCAGCAGAAACCTCGATCACTTGGAGTCATTTTACAGTGGAATCTTCTGTTCTGTGTCTCCATGACAGCCAGAAAACTTGCTCAGAAAGAGATTGGACATGCTAATAAGCACACGCCAAATGCTTCAAAGCAGTATCATCAGTCCTCTCAAGCCTGCTTTTCCTGCTTCTACAGAGAGAGCCCAGTCACCACCTTTCTATTTCAGTCACACTATGATTCTGTAGGAACTGTCATTTTCCTTTACTGCGGTTTCCAGGGCCCTAAAATAACCTTCTCATTAGCTTCACTCAAGTTCATTGTTAACATAAATAGGCCAAAATAGGCAGCCGCGTGCAGAGCACTGTAAGGGAACATTATCAGCACTGCTCATCTCTTTATGTTCTAAACAGAAATATTCAAGAGTGTGGGGGGAAAAAAATCCTTGGTTTTTTAATGATCAAATGAAATATACTGCGTATAATTTTTAATTTGCGGGAAATGAATTAAGATGACTGATAACTTTTAATTCGGTTTAGGCTTGACTCTTTCTGTCACATCCAGGTGGCCACTAGCAGAAGCTTGAGTAATGTGGAAAATATGTCTGCGCAGCTGCTGGCAAAGAAGCAAAATTATACTTCCTCAGAAACAGAATGACAGAGCTCCTGAAAGGAATGCAATGTTGGCTGATCTGTAAGCAGAGCTGCCACTGGTATGCACCCGCACATCCAACTCCCGGGCCACAACCCACTCTGGACTGCATGGCTGGAAGCTCATAAAAATAGAACAGCTCCATTGTGGGTCAGGTAGTCATCTTTCTGGTCCCCTCTCCAGGACACGTTTGAGCTTAGGGGTAAGAAATGAGAGCAAGCTCTAAAGGAACAGCAACTGGTGCTAGAGGATAAGACGCAGCCCTGCCCCTTCACCGGGTCAGGGCAGCTAAGGGGGGCTGTCTCAGTAGCTCGGATTGCACAACTACCTTCGCTTCAAACCTTAGCCTCAATGGTAGACTAAAGCCACTAAAATGACAGTTAACTACCAGTGGGATTAGTGATTTTCACAGAGGAATGTAAATATCTTTTCCTAGGGAGCCTTGGGACAGCTGACCAATCTACCATCCTGAAAATTGTATCTCAGGCATTGGCAAACATTTCCTTCAAAGGGCCAGTGAGCGAGTGGTCATTTGGGCTACATATGGTCTCTGTCGCCACTGTTCAGCTCTGTAAACATAGCTCAAAAGCAGTCGTAGAAAATATGTAAATAAATGAGTATGTCTGTGTCCCAGTAACACTTGACTTATAAAAACAGGCAGTGGGTTGGCTTTGACCCGTGACCATAGTTTCCTGACTTGCTCTATCTCATCGGTACGCAGATTTTGCCACAAGAGTGCATGAGAAATGGCCACAACCAGAACCAAACTGTTCTGACGAATGAACATGGGGTCAGAAGCCAGAAGAACAATGGTTGCTCATGGTGGGGCCTGAGGGGTTGGGGAAAATATGGTAATTGGGGTGGGACATGAGAAGTTTCCGGGTTACTGGTGATATTCTGTTTCTTAAGGTGGGTGTTTGGAAAATTCATTGAGAATTCTGTGAGAATTCACTTATAAGTTGTGTAGATTTCCACATTTGCTACTTCAATAAGTTTTTTTTTTGTTTGTTTTTTTTTAAGGAAAAAGAACCAAGCTGTTAAGAAGAAATGATTTTTAGCAAAATAAGGTTAAAAAAAATCCAGATGTTCAGCAGAATGTCTGTGGGTCCCCAGCAATGTAGTTAGGACAGAGGTCATTTTGGGGAGCACTTTTTAAAAAATTGTGGTAAAAACACGTAATGTAAAACTTAGCATCTTAACCGTTTTTAAGCGTACAGTTCCATAGTGTTGAACGGATGTCTAGAACTTTTTCATCTTGCAAATCTGAAACTCTGTACCCATTAAACAACAGCTCTGATGTTTCCCTGTCCCCCAGGCCTTGGTGACACCATTCTACTTTCTGTTTCTATGAATATGACTACTTTTTTCACATATAAGTGGAAATACATAGCATTTGCCTTTGTGTGACTGGTTTATTTCCTTTCACATGTTCTCCAGGTTCCTCCAGGTTATAGCATGTGGTAGGGTTTCCTTCACTTTTTAAAAAAATATATATTTTATTGATTTTTTACAGAGAGAAAGGGAGAGAGATAGAGAGCTAGAAATGTTGATGAGAGAGAAACATCCACAAGCTGCCTCCTGCACACCCCCCACCGGAGATGTGCCCGCAACCAAGGTATAATACATGCCCCTGACCGGAATCGAACCTGGGACCTTTCAGTCCGCAGACCGACGCTCTACCACTGAGCCAAACCGGTTTTGGCGGTTTCCTTCACTTTTAAGGCTGAACAATAACCCTCTGTATGTATCTCCCACATTTTGTTTACCCTTTTATGCATCGGTGGACATTTTGAATGTTTCCACCTTTTGCCTACGATAAATAGTGTTGCTATGAACATGGATGTATAAATATCTCTCAAGACTCTGCTTTCTATTTCTTTTTGCTATGTCCAGAGGCGAGATTGCTAGGTCATAGATGCTAGCTTCATTTTTAATTTTTAAGGTGCTTCCATACTGCTTTCCATAAAAGTTGCATCATTTTACAATTCAGCCAACAATGCAAAAGCATTGCCATTTCTCTACATCCTCACCAACACATTTTCTTTTTTTCGTGATAGTCGCACAGATCAATTTTTCAGAAGCCATTTTTGAAGGCCTGGCGAGGCTTTATCTGAATTAAACTCTAAATATCAATGGCCTTCAAGAAAAGTTACCTTAAATTCTTACATATTGGAACTGTATTTTTATCCTAAGAGACCAGCAACATTTTGATATGACTGTACCTTCTTTGCTGAAAGTGTTTGAACTTGTTGAACATTCCTGACAAGTGAAACGCAAAGCAGATACTAAAAGACTCCTAATGAGAGGAAAAATTTTAAGTTATATTTTCATATCTTGTTTGAAATGCCACCCATGTATGTGTGTGTCTCTCAGAAAGAGCAACAGTAGGACTTAAAAAAGAGCAAGTACAAGGTGAACACATAATTTATTTCATTAAGTTGGTCCCACTGCACTGGAAAAACTGGCATCCTCCCAAAGGGAACAAGTTCTTTAAAGAACTCGCCAAAGCAAGGGCACAAGCAGGAGACAAAGCCTCCGGTGAGAACGGAATGAGTGGAAGTCAAACAGGAAAACTGGGCCCAGGAACTGACACCACAGTTAGATGCCTACCTTGCTCTTCCAGAAGGACTCGCTCAGCTGAGTTTTCCTCTACTTTTTTCCTGGCTGCTGCTTCTTCCTCTTTTGACCATTGCATGTGATCCCTATAAAAAATAAATAAATAAAACAACTGTAAAACATGCTTTACGGTTGAAGAAGGCGGGAAAAGGCGGCAGGGGATGCATCTGTCATTCTATTATGTAATAGGTTACGCAAAGACAAGTGATACGAACGAATTCCACATCGACTGAGTGTGTTCTGTGTCGGATGTGCCTTCTGACAAGTGGTGGGACAAGCCTGGGACCTCTACGGTTTCTTTGTTTAAAACTGGTCCTGTTGCAGCCCCCAGCCACCTTTTGGAAATGATTGCCGAAGTACGTCATGTCCCGGAAGCACTATTACGGCGCATGATTATTTAGGTGCTGGTGTGGTTCACTGCATTTTACTCTAAGACTAAATTCATTTGCCTTTTTGTTAATTTATGCGCAGGGCATTCTTTAAAGGTTTTTGAATACTCTTTTTTTTTTTTTTTTTTTTTTACAATACTTATAAAATACTTTGTGTTTACCCTCAGTTTTTAAAGTAACTTTAGACTTTTCTTATTAGCTGCCTGAATTTCTATAAATGGGTTCATTTACATTTAAATTATAGACTACTTGTTATAGATATAAAAAAAAAAAAGCCACCTTTCTAAGAATTGGCATTTTCTTGAAGTATTTTTTAGTTTCAAAATGTATTTTCCCAATAGGAGAAGATATTATTTTTTTGCCACAAAATATGTCTTTCTTGGAATAAAAAGCAGCATCTTTATATAAAAAGGTGATTTTGTTTTGTTTTTACAAAGTTTGCACTTCTTTTTTTTTTGCAACTGGTAGAACTTTAGAGAGTGATGAGATTTCTTGGAATAAACCAGTTTGGGTTTTTTTCTAAACAATAATGAAATCATATACATAAGAGTTCAAATTCTATATAACTTGAAATGTCCTTATTGAAAATGGTAAAAAAAAATATCATCAACATTAATATCATATGATATTTACAGCTACCTTACTGATATAAATATCATCAACATTAATATCATATGATATTATAAAATCCCTGAGGTGCATCATTATGGTGACTGATAAACATTAACTGATATATGTGTATAAGTTGGGACTGTGGACAGTTTGTACAGGAAACAACAAATAAATCCATTTTGATTGATTTTCTTGAATAATAGCAGATGAAGTTAAGAGCTCAAAATCAGAGGATCCCAAATGTGAGCAGTTTAGTGATGTGTAAGACATAATGGATTAGGGAGGTACCGGAGGGTAGGAGACCAACTAGAAGCCTGTTGCAGTGATCTAGGAGTAATGAGCCCCAGGATTAAGGTGGTGGCAATGAAAAGCAGAAAGGAGGAGTGGAGGGAGAGGCCCTGTGGGAAAAAACAAAACTGTTAGGTATGTCCTGGAGATTAACGAGATGTTGTGGGGAGTAGGATGAGAAGAGTCATGGGTGATTTCAAGATCTTAAAACTGAATATGAAGAAAACTGAGGGTATCAATGACAGAATAAGGAGTTGGTTTGGGTAGAATGATGATAAGCTGGGTGCTATTTTTAAGTAATGTGTATGCAATCAGATATGAGAGGGTGCATTCCAGGGAACTGCCTATAAATATACCACGAAAGGTGAGAAACTGCAACCTTTAGAGGAGGATTAGATCTGGTACACTGAAGTCCCCAGGAAAAGCAAATGATAATGCAAAACTCAGTTTCACAGATGAAACTTTAACCACCATTATTTCAAATAAAACCTAATTATTTAAAATCCAAATAATCATTAAGCAGCTTTGTCACTTGCTCTCATGAATCAGATTAGAATAGAATTTTTGTTTTGTCTTACTTTAATATACGTGAGGAATCACTTTGAGCTGACAACTATACTTTGTATGCTGTACATATAAATATACGGGGTGGGGCAAAAGTAGGCTTACAGTTGTTCACATGAAAATAATACAATAAATAATAATATAAGAGTAAACTGTTTTGCATACTCATAACTATAAACCTACTTTTGCCTCCCTCATATATACAGAACATTATTAAAGGCAACAAATAATTTATTTTAAAAAAACAGTATTATTGCCCTGGCTGGGTGACTCAGTTGGGTGAAGTGTCATCCTGTAAACAAAAGGTGGCAGGTTCGATTCCCAGCCAGGGCACATACCTAGGTTGTGGGTTTGACGGGAGGCAACCAATTGGTGTTTCTCTGTCACACTGAACTCTCTCTCTCTCTCTAAAATCAATAAAAACATATCCTCTGGCCCAGAAATTCTATTCTTAGGTTTACATCCAACAGAACTGAAAACATATGTTCTCACAAAAAATATTCATAAACACAAATATTCACATAGCAGCATTTTTATAATACCCCCAAAGTGGAAACAACTAAAATACCCATTAAATTATGAAAGGATAAATAAATGTGTAATATCCACACAATGGGATGAGAGTATTTCTGCATCAAACCCCACCAAACTATGGGTATACATAACCTAAACGAACCTCAGAAACATTATGCTAAGAAGCCACATGCAAAAGGCGACACGTTGTATGACTCCATTACTATGAAATGCTAAAATATAAAAACAAAAAGTGGATTAGTAATTGCCTGTAACTGGGAATTGTAAAGGACAATGTCTGCAAATTGGCATAAAAAATCCTCTTAGGGTAATGTAAATGCTTTAAAATTGGACTGAGGTAATGATTATAACTATAAACTTACTAAAAATCACTGAACTGTATACTTAGAAAGGATAAATTACATTGAAACAAACAAAAAACATATCCGCTAGTGAGGAATTAAAAAAAAAAGAAAGTATTATTAAGGCTAGGACAGGTCATCTGTAAATTTCTACAACATATAAGAAAGAAAATAGAACAATTCATTTCCCTATGAAGAACCAAGCTCTGAGACAATGAGAGTATATGTGGTCTTTAGCTTTAAGCATGTTTTAAACTGTTATTTTAACTTGCTTCTTCCTAAGCATTTGATAGGTTTTAGTTGTTTTTTAAATTGCTCTAACTTCCTTACACTGTTCTTTATGTTTCTTCATTTTCTTAACTGCTAAGTAAGTAAGGGTAATATTATACCCTAAGTCACTGCAGAACAGATTTTCCACTGTACAGTTACAGAATCCCCACTGAAACCTATAAAATGTTCCTACTGTATTTATGGGACTTCCTCAAGAATTGCAGCTTTATAGTAGTTCTTTATATTAAAAAAGTCTGATTCACGTATACCCAAACCCAACAGACAGCAATAAGAATCATTCAAGTTTATAAGCAATAAATACAATTGCAGTAGAATTTAAGCATAGAAACAAATAACTGACAAACAAACGGAAAATAATCAAGTATTTAACAACCAACACTACCACTACCACTACCAAGGGGAAAAAATGCCTTATACTGTTTGATCTATGAATTATACTACTGGGAATTTATTGTAACAAAGTAATTCAAAATAACAGAGAGGTTCTTAGAGAAAGTATCTTTAGAGAGAAGGAATGCTTTTTATTCTGCGGACCATTAATATGTTCTTCACTGTTTTCAGTGTATGACCTTGCATACACTCCTCTTTACTGTTTCTTTATTCTTTGGTATATATGTCAATTCTTCATCTGATAATAATAAGAATGATGCCTTTTAATTGTAACTTACTACTAAGAGTTTTACATATTTATGTCCTTTAATATTCACAACCTCCCCTGAAGGAATTTGCTCAAATTCACCTACCTTGAAAGGGGTAGAGTCAAAACTTAAATTCAGATTTTTTAAAATTCTAAAGCCCATATTTAGCCACTATATTAACTCTCAGTCTAGTTATAAACTTCTAATAGATAGGAACTGGATCTCATATTTATCTATATCGACCCACTTATTCAAACACTTTTATTAGGTACTTATTAAATAAGGAATATAGCTATGATACAGACATAGCTAAACTCTTCTCTGAAGAAACATATTAATCTAACAATGAAGATAAAATAGATACCTAAGTAACTAAAGTACATGTTAGAAAATGGTTACAATAAGATAGCTGATTCTTATGTGCTGCTTATTTACTATGTGTATTCATTTTATATTATACCAGAGGCCCGGGGCAAGGGCGGGGCAGATCCCTCAGCATGGCCTGTGCCTTCTCACAGGCCAGAAGCCCATGGGGAGTGGGCCTAAGCCATCAGCCAGACATCCTTAGAGCTGCCACAGAGGAGGGAGAGGCTCCCGCCACCACTGCTGAACTCTCCAGCCATCAGTCCGGCTTCCGGCTGAGCGGCACTCCCCCTGTAGGAGCCAGGGGGCAGCTCCTGTGTTGAGCGTCTGCCCCCTGGTGGTCAGTATGTGTCATAGTGACCAGTTGTTCCACTATTAAGTCAATTTACATATTAGCCTTTTATTATTTAGGAGATATATATATATATATATATATATATATATATATATATATATATATATATATATATATATATATATAATTTGATCCTCACAGCAATCCTATGAGAATAGATATTATTCCATTTTAAAGATGAAGAAACTAAGGCACAGATAAAGTAACTTCCCAAATTTAGACAGCTAGCCAGACTGTGCTCTCAACATGTAAACTAGTCTCTAATGACACATGTTATAATGAAGGTAGTCAGAGAAAATATTTATCTGTATTAAAGAACTGTGATTGTAACAGGGCGAGAGAAATCAGAGATAAATACAATGATTAAAGAAAATTCATACTATATAATAAGAAAAAATTCAATTGGAATTCTGGAAACTATTATTGAAATGGGTTATATAATAGAAAGACATTTCACAACATACAGGTCCTGCCTTGGATCTACAGAGAATGGCTTAGACCAATATTTTTTAAACTAAAGGTCACAGTTCTTAGTGAATCAAGAAATCAATTTAGTCTGACAATTAAAAAAAGAAAAAAACAGAGTAGAAAAAAATAAAAGGAAACTAACTGGGCATGTGTCACATGGTAAAAATGGACATAAAACTTTTGTTCCTATTTCATAAGCATATTTTTTGTATACTGGTCCATGATGTAAGTTTCACTTTTTAC